AACGATGTGACCTGGAGGGCTAACTGTTGGCAACAATGTGACCTGGAGGGCTAACTGTTGGGACATTCCGACCGGAACATCACATAATGACAAATGTGATCGCAATTACAATACTGCTAGTTTGTTATTATAAGCAACTGCGCAAGCAGCTGCTACTGAGACGTGATTAATCGATCTAACATTGTGTCTGAGTTACAAAGTGATTTAGCTAACAGACATGTGTTACAGCTGACAAACAAAATGGTACATGTATCACAAAATGTGATCTAGCTAACAGAAGATGTGATGCTTTATGGGGGCTGGACTGTCTGACTCAGTCCGGGTCTACACAGACTCAGATGACTGTTGACTCAGTCCTGGTCTACACAGACTGAGATGACTGTTGACTAATTCCTGGTCTATACAGACTGAGATGGCTGTTGACTCATTCCTGGTCTATACAGACTGAGATGGCTGATAGCAGTGAGTATTATTACAACTATAGTTGACACAAACAGATGGTAGCCAGTACCTTTGTAAACTGATAGAATATACTTGTCAATAATAATAATTTATAAAATAACACAAATCAGTGACAATATTACTGAACAATTCCATGTGTATAAAGAACCATGTGTCACATAAAACCATGTGTCACAGAGAACCATGTGTCACAGAAAACCATGTGTCACAATAAACCATGTGTCACATAAAACCAGGTGTCACATAAAACCATGTGTCACAGAGAACCATGTGTCACAGAGAACCATGTGTCACAGAGAACCATGTGTCACAGAGAAACAGTTGACAGGACAACATGAGTAAGGCAAAAGTGTGTCAGTCGACGGCAGAACCCTTGAACAGAATTTCTTACAAGGGAAGAACATTTGAGTGGATATCTTGCTGGGTTCAAGAGAGCATCGTCCGGCCTTTACTGTCTATTAAACAGGCCAATACGTTCCAACTAGCTTTAGATTATGTTGTGACCAACCTCTGGCCAGCTGAATGACACTGTGTTCAGTCACGTGGTCACGGCAGATTTGATCAAATTGTATACAGCTCAGCTGTGGACTGCCAAATCTGCCTAACCGTGATCTTTCAACAACATGGAATAATCAACGATCGTAAATGTTACAAAGTGAATGGTTTATAAATAAATGGATTCTGATGCAGTATAAACAAGATATTTGTGAAACCAGACATGGTATGCACTATAAACAAGATATTTGTGAAACCAGACATGGTATGCACTATAGACAAGATATTTGTGAAACCAGACATGGTATGCACTATAGACAAGATATTTGTGAAACCAGACATGGTATGCACTATAGACAAGATATTTGTGAAACCAGACATTGTATGCACTATAGACAAGATATTTGTGAAACCAGACATGGTATGCACTATAGACAAGATATTTGTGAAACCAGACATTGTATGCACTATAGACAAGATATTTGTGAAACCAGACATGGTATGCACTATAGACAAGATATTTGTGAAACCAGACATGGTATGCACTATAGACAAGATATTTGTGAAACCAGACATTGTATGCACTATAGACAAGATATTTGTGAAACCAGACATGGTATGCACTATAGACAAGATATTTGTGAAACCAGACATGGTATGCACTATAGACAAGATATTTGTGAAACCAGACATTGTATGCACTATAGACAAGATATTTGTCAAACCAGACATTGTATGCACTATAGAGACAAGATATTTGTGAAAACCAGACATGGTATGCACTATAGACAAGATATTTGTGAAACCAGACATGGTATGCACTATAGACAAGATATTTGTGAAACCAGACATTGTATGCACTATAGACAAGATATTTGTGAAACCAGACATGGTATGCACTATAGACAAGATATTTGTGAAACCAGACATGGTATGCACTATAGACAAGATATTTGTGAAACCAGACATGGTATGCACTATAGACAAGATATTTGTGAAACCAGACATGGTATGCACTATAGACAAGATATTTGTGAAACCCAGACATGGTATGCACTATAGAACAAGATATTTGTGAAACCAGACATGGTATGCACTATAGACAAGATATTTGTGAAACCAGACATTGTATGCACTATAGACAAGATATTTGTGAAACCAGACATGGTATGCACTATAGACAAGATATTTGTGAAACCAGACATTGTATGCACTATAGACAAGATATTTGTGAAACCAGACATGGTATTCTGCCAAATGTTGCTAGCACCAACAGAGTACATAGCCAGCTGACAGGTCTTAACTGTGGCGGCTGGCCTGTTTTAGAGGATATCTGTGACATGAGCACTTACAGTCAGTAGAGAATACTTGTATCCTACCATATCATGTCATCTGCCCACCCTCACCACAGGGAGCAACATTCACATGAATGTCTACTGGGTCAGCTGCACGGCCGGACTTCCTGGCTTCGACATATTTTCAATCAACATTTATCATCCTATAAAGAATCTATCAAGTAATTTAACTGTTGATGATGACAAACTTGCCAGGTTTGTCTTGAGAGTCTGCACTGAAGCAGCACTGCTCACGCTAGCCAGGCAGACATCCTTGTTGCCAGGTTGTAATAATAAAACACAGTCTTGTTTAAGTTGACAGCACATTGCATGAGAACATAGCCTAATTAATACAATACTTCAGGGTCATACTAGAACTGTCTACAATATTCGAACACAGCATATATATTCAAGCTATGAATATATTAATTACCATGCTGTAAAAGGAAATCTATGTACAAATCATGCGCAACGTTGTCATGATAATATAAACAATATGTATGTAAGGCATGAGACAGTATAATGACACTATAACAGCAGCAGGAATTCAACCTATAAGTCTGTTTGACAAAACCTGTTAGCGCTAGATAATATAATGGCAGCATGTACAACCAAATACCTTTCATATATTTGGCAACAATTTCCTGATTTATTCCTCAGTGTTTCCTAGACATATTTTTTAACTGGATATGAGTATAGAAAATTACTGTCCACTTTCTAGATATAGGTGCTCAAAACTACTGTCTGATTCATGGGTACAAGTCCGGAGAACTACTGTCTGATTCATGGATACAAGTCCGGAGAACTACTGTCTGATTCATGGATACAAGTCCGGAGAACTACTGTCTGATTCATGGGTACAAGTCCGGAGAACTACTGTCTGATTCATGGATACAAGTCCGGAGAACTACTGTCTGATTCATGGGTACAAGTCCGGAGAACTACTGTCTGATTCATGGATACAAGTCCGGAGAACTACTGTCTGATTCATGGGTACAAGTCGGAGAACTACTGTCTGATTTCATGGATACAAGTCCGGAGAACTACTGTCTGATTCATGGATACAAGTCCGAGAGAATACTGTCTGATTCATGGGTACAAGTCCGGAGAACTACTGTCTGATTCATGGGTACAAGTCCGGAGAACTACTGTCTGATTCATGGGTACAAGTCCGGAGAGCTACTGTCTGATTCATGGGTACAAGTCCGGAGAACTACTGTCTGATTCATGGAAACAAGTCCGGAGAACTACTGTCTGATTCATGGATACAAGTCCGGAGAACTACTGTCTGATTCATGGGTACAAGTCCGGAGAACTACTGTCTGATTCATGGATACAAGTCCGGAGAACTACTGTCTGATTCATGGGTACAAGTCCGGAGAACTACTGTCTGATTCATGGATACAAGTCCTGAGAACTACTGTCTGATTCATGGATACAAGTCCGGAGAACTACTGTCTGATTCATGGGTACAAGTCCGGAGAACTACTGTCTGATTCATGGGTACAAGTCCGGAGAGCTACTGTCTGATTCATGGGTACAAGTCCGGAGAACTACTGTCTGATTCATGGAAACAAGTCCGGAGAACTACTGTCTGATTCATGGAAACAAGTCCTGAGAAATACTGTCTGATTCATGGATACAAGTCCCGAGAACAAGCATCTAATGTCTGGATACAAGTCCCGAGAACTAACGTATGATTGTCTCCCTTAAATGTAAGTAGATGACCTAGTGTGAGACTGAGGCGGTCAGGGGCGAATACATGTGGTGGTATTTGTAAGCATCAAGGCAAAGTGGTGACCACGGGTGATGGTTATACACAGAAGTGAGTCTAACATATAACAGAAATGAGACTAAAATATAACAGAAGTGAATCTAAGATGAAAGAGAAGTGAATCTAAGATGTAAGAGAAGTGAATCTAAGATGTAAGAGAAGTGAGTCTAAAATATAACAGAAGTGAGTCTAAGATGTAAGAGAAGTGAATCTAAGATGTAAGAGAAGTGAATCTAAGATGTAAGAGAAGTGAATTTAAGATGTAAGAGAAGTGAGTCTATGTACAAACGGGAGCAACTGATCACCTCCGCTGGGCTCCCTGTCTCGTGTGGCCCGGCCAGCACAAGCAGACGCGGGAGACCCAGTTTCAGGTGAAGGTCACAGCATCAAGGTCAGCCTGAACACACAATATGAAGATCAAAATTTCTGGAACCAACATTAAGCACCATTTATAAGAACAACAGCTGGGTTTTTCTCCCTCTGAAGATCAGAACACGGACATGTATCAAATAACCTGATTGGGACCAGCCTAATCACATTCAACAGAAATTGTTGACACATGTTTATGTTGTCACGGCAAGTGTCATGACCAATTGGCACCAGAACAACAATCAAGACCCTCAAATGGTAAACTGGCAAATGTTGGAAGACCAGGCGGTCCAGTGACTTCCTGGAGCCATTTGTCACCACTGACCACTCTTGTTCTGGTTACGGCTTCAGGAAAGCAAGGATTTGAACATTGCCATTAAGAACAGTCAATGCAACACCCAAACCAAGCACCAAGCAGTCAGAGGGTCTCACCAGGAAAATGCACAACAGTGGTCGCTTGTGACCACGGATCTGTGACAACTCCATGAATCATCTAGAAATTCTTCCATCTTCCACATTAGGAAGGATTATGCAAATTTAACAGTTCGCTGATGATAAGTTACAGTTCAGATATGTCTCTTCATGTGCAACGACAGATGGTCACTTCTGGAAAATGCTCGCTCACAAAGATGACACTGAAATGGCCGGTCGCCGGTGTGCTTGCGATAGTGACGCGTCAGTTCATCCGAGCGGGCAAACTTCCAGCCACATCCCTTCCAGGTACAGTGGTAGGGTTTCTCTCCCGTGTGAGTGCGAAGGTGAGCTTTCAGGTGGGAGCTCTTGGTGTAGGTTTTACTGCAGCCAGGATGTGAGCACGAGTGGCTTGTCTGACGCTTCCGGCCCCAGGTTCGTCTGCCTCGTTTTTTAGGCTGAACAGTGTTGTCAATTGGTTGCTGGGAGACCAGGAGATGGTCCCGCTGAGGGGATGGTGGTGGGGTCATCAACTGGTGGGATCCTGCAGCTGGGCTCAGGTGAGAGGGGTGTTGGTGGTGGACAGGTATTTTGTTTATCAGGTGTGCTGGTCTGATAACCATCCGCTGGTGACCGTGTGGATACATAGGCAGCTGGTTCATCTTCAGACTGTGCATGTTCAAATCCTGATTTTCAGGAGAGATGGGAGGCGAGAGGTGGCTTCCATGCATAGAAAAGACAACATGAGGATTCTGGGTAGGGAGCTGGCTGGTTGGAACTACGGTCAGGGAAGCGGTGTAAGATGTGCAGGACTGAGACATTTGCGAGAACTCATGTTTGGGCATCTTGAACTCGGACACTGGGGACATGTTGCCGTTGATTTGCTGCTGATGAGACTGCTGTGGCAAGGCTGGACTACCAGACGAGGCTGTGAGAATGTTGCTACTCCCAACTGTCTTTGGTTTAGAGATTGGTAATAACATGTTGCCTCTGTTGATATAATCAAACTTGATTTCTGGGATGTCCAAGAAAGCAGAAGAAAAATCTGGCAGACCATCACTACCGGGTTCCTGTTTGATTTTCTGGCAGCTGTGAGCATCTTCATAAATGCTGCCATCAACGGAATTGTTCAAGATGAAGTCCAGGTCGAGGAGATCGTCATAGATCATCTCTTGTGGACCTGGGCTGTCACTGCTGAGACTGGAGGAACCCGGGCTGCCAACAGACATGGCCCCATGCCTAGGACTGGGGTAGGCACTTGTGGGTGTCGATGATGGCGAATCTGTGTTGGCGTCCCCAGGCGAGGCTACAGATGTTCTCAGGTGATCGCTGAAAATGTTGATGATGCTGGTCTCATAAGGCGTGTTGTCTGGGTACAAGAAGTTGTCAACGTCGGCCCAGTTCTGTGGAGTACACAAGTAAGCAACAAGTCAGCAACAAGTAGCATTCGTATAAATCTTTTCATTCCAGACAGACCAATAATTTGTTTCAACATGTCTAAACTGCTCCAAGTAGCAGAGTCACAGTCGAGGGGCCACCAACAGTACAATCCTCACCCACACATATTCTATGAGAAAATTGACGCTCTTTAGACGAATTTGGAAGCTACGATAGAAATGGCTAGAAATAGCTAGAGGTGGCCAGAAATAGAATGGTGAGGGCTGTCGCAGCTGAAAAATATCGCTGGATTGCTATCTGCTTCAGTACTGACCAAATCTGTCAGGCCAGTCAATGATACAATCAAATGGTGATTTGCAGACAAGCCCGAGACAGATAGACACGCATGAGACAAGACATGCAAGCATGAGACAAGACATGCAAGCATGAGACAAGACAATCATGAGACAAGACAATCATGAAACAAGGCAGAAAAGCATGAAACAAGACAGACAAACATGGGAAAAGACAGGAAAGCATACAAGAAGACAGACAAGCATGAGAGAAGACAGACAAGCATGAGAATAGACATAGACAGACAAGCATGAGACAAGACATACAAGCATGAGAATAGACATAGACAGACAAGCATGAGACAAGACAGGCAATCATGAGAAGAGACAGACAAGCATTAGAGCTGGCAACTATGTGCTGAATAACATGTTTGGAAAGAAGACGAATAAAACACTGTTGTTGTTTAACGACGTCACTGTACCTAAGCCAGTTAGCTAGCATATAACAGCTATAGTCCAACCAAAGGCTATTGTAGGCAGTAGATTATTAACCGGTTACTGTCATCATAATTATCATGTGCCGTGCCGATAAGCGTAGGCTTCCATGTTTCAGTCTCACACTGCAATAACCAGCCTGTGCCAACACATCAAGAGCCGCTTGATTCACGTCAACTGCCTTCTGTCTTTTAATGAATTCATAATTACACACAGCTTTAGTGACACTACACAACGGCCGGGATGTTTGTACTCACGCGACGCCTGTGTTTATGTGGCACGTCCGTTGGCTCACAAACATAACAAAAGCAGATCTACAATTTAAGATCTACAGATTTGGCCAATGAAACCAGGTGAGATCACATTCATGTACCGAGAGAAGCAGATCTACAATTTAAGATCTACAGATTTGGCCAATGAAACCATGTGAGATCACATTCATATACCGAGAGAAGTAGATCTACAATTTAAGATCTACAGATGTGGTCGATGGAACCATGTGAGATCAGTCATATAGCCTGACACTGAGCTGTCTGGAATCAACAGTTTAACATCAATTTGTCGGCGTCTGTGGCTTAGGTGTTGCGAGTGCTCTTCGTAGTGCTGAGGTGCAGGGTTCGATCCCAGCAGCTGACGATTTGACAACAGATCGTATGACGTTGATTTCGACAGCGAAATCAAGGAAAGACCGTTGAGAGGCAATGGCAAACTACTGAACGTAAATTTGAGTAGAAAAACCACAACAGCAAAGTGCATTCATGGAAGTTAATAAACAAAAGAAAAGCGTCAGTACTCACAGTCTGAAAATCCATGATGTCACTGTATTTAGGCAGTGTGGAGTTGTGCAGTCTAGGAGCCCGCTCCAGTGAGTGATCCAGCAGTGCTGTCATTGTTGACTGTCATCCAGCAGACAGCAAATATCTTATGACGTCCACTCACCGAGAAAATCTGCACAGACAATGACGGAATCCATTCCGGCAACCGCCTTATATCCCAGACTAAAAATAACCACCAAAAGAATCTCCGGGACCGGCCGCCATTGGCTGCTAAATATAGGGATAGTATAAGTAGCGGAGTCGAGGGTTGGTTCAGTCAGTGGGCCTGAAACCGCGTCCCGGGTCGGAGCTGGAGGAGAAGGATTTACTTCAGTGGGGCACGGGAGCCTTTCCTTAACTGGGGCAAGAGAGGTTTTCCTTCATCGGGGACGGGAGGATTCCTTGACTGCAACAGTTGGTTAGAGCCGGACTGGCAAGTTGTAGGTAGTGGGTCGTCGTCACACTTGCGTATCCTGTGAACGTCATCACTGAAAGCGGGCTATCGCATTCCGTAGCCGGGACGTGAGAAATTGCTTCACCGAGCTTCTCTCGTTTGTTGCCTTTCTGGCCATTTTGTTTTATTCATTTGTGTGTGTGTTTTTGTGGTGTTCAACTAAATATATATGTGTTTGTGGTGTTTAGCTAAATATACATGTGGGTGTGTTTGTGGTGTTTTTTAGCTAAATATATACGTGGGTGTGTATGTGTTTGTAGTGTTTAGCTAAATATATGTGTGTGTGTGTGTGCGCGCTTTTTTCTTCATTGACATGACGGACTGCCTTTTTCTACGTAAAACCCCCCCCCCCCCATTTCCTCTCCCTGAGACCCCCCTCTTCCTCCCCTCCCCTGAGACCCCACTCCTCACCCTGAGACCCCCTCCCCTCTCCATGAGACCACCCCCCCCCCCCCCACCTTCTATGCTTGACCCAGTTAGCTGCTATCAAATTTTTCTGTTTATCTAAAGCAGGAATATACACATCCGACTTTAGCTATTTATTACAACAGCTGGAGCCAGTCGTGGACTTTACAACCAAGTTAACTCAGGGCCCACCATTTTCAACACGGACCATTATTGTAGGCACGGCGTGGCTATGGGGTGTTGTACACATTATTGTAGGCACGGCGTGGCTATGGGGTGTTGTACACATTATTGTAGGCACGGCGTGGCTATGGGGTGTTGTACACATTATTGTAGGCACGGCGTGGCTATGCGGTGTTGTACACATTATTGTAGGCACGGCGTGGCTATGGGGTGTTGTACAAGTTATTGTAGGCACGGCGTGGATATGGGGTGTTGTACACATTATTGTAGGCACGGCGTTGCTATGTGTTGTTGTACAAGTTATTGTAGGCACGTCGTGGCCATGTGGTGTTGTACACACTTTTGTAGACACGGCGTTGCTATGTGTTGTTGTACAAGTTATTGTAGGCACGTCGTGGATATGGGGTGTTGTACACATTATTGTAGGCACGGCGTTGCTATGTGTTGTTGTACAAGTTATTGTAGGCACGTCGTGGCCATGTGGTGTTGTACACACTTTTGTAGACACGGCGTTGCTATGTGTTGTTGTACAAGTTATTGTAGGCACGTCGTGGATATGGGGTGTTGTACACATTATTGTAGGCACGGCGTTGCTATGTGTTGTTGTACAAGTTATTGTAGGCACGTCGTGGCCATGTGGTGTTGTACACACTTTTGTAGACACGGCGTTGCTATTTGTTGTTGTACAAGTTATTGTAGGCACGGCGTGGATATGGGGTGTTGTACACATTATTGTAGGCACGGCGTTGCTATGTGTTGCTGTACAAGTTATTGTAGGCACGTCGTGGCCATGTGGTGTTGTACACACTTTTGTAGACACGGCGTTGCTATGTGTTGTTGTACAAGTTATTGTAGGCACGTGGTGGCCATGTGGTGTTGTACAAGTTATTGTAGGCACGTCGTGGCCATGTGGTGTTGTACACACTTTTGTAGACACGGCGTAGCATTGTGTTGTTGTACACGTTATTGTAGACACAGCGTAGCATTGTGTTGTTGTACACGTTATTGTAGACACAGCGTAGCATTGTGTTGTTGAACACGTTATTGTAGACACAGCGTAGCATTGTGTTGTTGTACACGTTATTGTAGACACGGCGTAGCATTGTGTTGTTGTACACGTTATTGTAGACACGGCGTAGCATTGTGTTGTTGTACGCGTTATTGTAGACACAGCGTAGCATTGTGTTGTTGAACACGTTATTTTAGACACAGTGTAGCTATATGAAGTTGTACAAGTTATTTTAGACACAGCATGCCATAGGAAAATGTGGCAGGCTAGGAGACTGTGTTTCCTGCCAGGGGACGGGAAAATATGGCAGGCTTGGACATCACTTTGTCCCTATGAGGTTGTATCTGCAGGGAACAGTTGACGTCTTCGAGCAAACTGGGACGCGTTCTGGGGTACCAGCTTTGAAAACGATCTGAGGGAGTGGGGGGGGGGGGGGGTGAAAAAATATAAAAAATGAACTGGAACAGACTTTGTGTGAACATCTGGGTTGTGACGTTAGGGTTCTAGCAGACTGATGAATTTACGTGGGAAATCCCATAATTTTCTAGGCTAAGACCTGGGACCTACAGGTGTGGCATCGATGGTGACGACAAACGACCAGCCTCGGCCCCCAAGTTCAAATATTTGCGGTTCTCCTTGGTAACAGGCACGAACTCTGGCCTACTATGTCAGTTGCTGAAGTGGCTACTAAAATATCGTTGCCCCACTCCCCCAGCCTCGTCGACAGGTGTAGCAAAAGTACCTAGGTACTGCAGAGAATGCGTGCATTCTTGATGTGAAAGAGTGCAAACAAAGAAATGGACCAGTCAGCCACTGACTGTTCGCTGTCTGTATGTCCTGAGAGTTGACATCCTCCAGTCTTGGCAACATCAAATGGTCTATGACTGACTCTGTTCGTACTCAAGTAGAGCGCCGGGCGCAGTTTAAAGGAAGACCTGTCAAATCGTGGCTTACTGTTGCTTTGTGTGTTCTGTTGCCAGTAACCCATATTTCTTCCCGTGTCTCTTTTTCTCACCTCACTTTTTCTTCTTTCCCCGTCGCTTACTCTTCTCTCTCCTTATTTTTCTTCTCTTACTGCCTCTCTGTTCTTTCTCCCCCCCCCCCTCTTTTCCTTCTGTCCCACTGTCTTCTCTCTTTCCCATGTGTCTATCCCATCTCGCCATTATTTCTCTCTTCCTTTCTCTCCTCCGGTATTTTCTCTCATGCTCTCTCTGTACTCTCCCCTCTCCCAATATGTTCTCACTCAAGTGTCTCCCTCTTTCTATCTCACTCTCTTCTCCTTTATGTTATATTTCTCCACAGCCTTTCTTTATGTCCATATTCTCTCTTGTTTATATCCTTTGTCATCTCTCTCTCTCTCTCTACCTCTTTCTGTTTCTCCCCCTGTCCGCGTTCTCTCTCTCTACCTTTTTCTGTTTCTCTTCCTGTCCGCGTTCTTCTCTCTCTCTACCTCTTTCTGTTTCTCTGCCTGTCCGCGTTCTCTCTCTCTCTATCTCTTTCTGTTTCTCTCCCTGTCCGCCTTCTCTCTCTCTACCTCTTTCTGTTTCTCTCCTTGTCCGCTTTCTCTCTCTCTACCTCTTTCTGTTTCTCTTCCTGTCCGCGTTCTATCTCTCTAACTCTTTGTGTTTCTCTTCCTGTCCGCTTTCTCTCTCTCTCTCTCTCTCTCTCTCTCTCTCTCTATATATATATATATATATATATATATATATATATATATATATATACCTCTTTCTGTTTCTCTCCCTGTCCGCGTTCTCTCTCTCTCTACCTCTTTCTGTTTCTCTCCCTGTCCGCGTTCTCCCTCTCTCTAGCTCTTTCTGTTTCTCTCCCTGTCCGCGTTCGCTTTCTCTACCTCTTTCTGTTTCTCTCCCTGTCCGCGTTCTCTCTCTCTACCTCTTTCTGTTTCTCTCCCTGTCCGCGTTCTCTCTCTCTACCTCTTTCTGTTTCTCTCCCTGTCCGCGTTCTCTCTCTCTCTACCTCTTTCTGTTTCTCTCCCTGTCCGCATTCTCTCTCTCTCTCTCTCTCTCTCTCTCTCTCTCTCTCTCTCTCTCTCTCTCTCTCTCTCTCTCTCTACCTCTTTCTGTTTTTCTCCTCGTCCGCGTTCTCTCTCTTCATTCTCCCACACCTCTTTCCCCCTTACTCTAATTTCTCTTCCCTCTCTCTGTGCGTCCGGTTGTGTGTGTGCGTGCGTGCGCGTATGTGTATGACTGTGGTGTTTCTGCTAGTATAATAAACTGTAACAGCTAAAACCGATTTCTCAAAACAGCTTTTTCATCCAAAGATTTCATGGAAACTTTGAATTTAGATGACTATGTCACACAAACAGCTATTTCATCCAAAGATTTCATGGAAACTTTGAATTCAGATGACTATGTCACACAAACAGCTATTTCATCCAAAGATTTCATGGAAACTTTGAATTCAGATGACTATGTCACACAAACAGCTATTTCATCCAAAGATTTCATGGAAACTTTGAATTCAGATGACTATGTCACACAAACAGCTATTTCATCCAAAGATTTCATGGAAACTTTGAATTCAGATGACTATGTCACACAAACAGCTATTTCATCCAAAGATTTCATGGAAACTGAATTTAGATGACTATGTCACACAAACAGCTTTCTCCCAAAGTAGCCACTTCAGCCCATCAGCACCTTCAGGCTCAACATCTGTTTGTAGAGAACTGCTAGAGGCAACTTAGAGTGTAGTATATCATGCCGTATTCGACGAGTATTTGTGTAGTATATCATGCCGTATTCGACGAGTATTTGTGTAGTATATCATGCCGTATTCGACGAGTATTTGTGTAGTATATCATGCCGTATTCGACGAGTATTTGTGTAGTATATCATGCCGTATTCGACGAGCATTTGTGTAGTATATCATGCCGTATTCGACGAGTATTTGTGTAGTATATCATGCCGTATTTGACGAGTATTTGTGTAGTATATCATGCCGTATTCGACGAGTATTTGTGTAGTATCTTCTTCTTCTTCTTCTTTTGTCAAAATCTGCTTG